CACAACTTCTTGTTTTTACAATTATTTTTATTTATGAATCAAACAAATGAGACTAGCTGCTTTTGGTATTTACTCTAAGCTAAAATGATCTCCTCCTGGCTCTAGCTACATATCAATAGAGCTGAAACAATTAGTTGATTGATTGAGTTAATAATTTAAAGTAACATTATGTAAGAATCGGTACCGGCCCCAAGTTTCAGAGTGCCATTAATTTCTACACCATGAATATTGTAAATACGGTCAGCGGTACATGTTCATTATGATTACAATATTTATGATCAAAGACAAGCAACTCGACACGTTTGCTAACACAGCCAAACATCAAGCAAGTGCAAAAATACAAAACATAGACAGAGACTAAAAAGACAGCCCGAGAATTACTCTTCTTCAGCAGCCTCTTCCTCAGTCACTCTTGTTTTTTCTCTTCTTAGCTTCCTCCGCCAACGTCCCCTTCAGTCTCTTCGTCCTTGCCATGATGTCTGTAGCAGCTGTTGAGTCTCCAAAATCAGTGACATAGTTAGTGGTGTGTGACTTAACCGTGCTTTCAAAGAACTTCTCCTGGCCAGGACACCAAAGTTACATACCAGTAGTACAAGAACAGGCGTACTGTGTCCAGAGTGGGAATGACAGAGGCACCATTTACCCTATTAAAAGTCAGTTTACCATCAAAATGATTTTGAAGCCTTTATTTTGAGGTACAATAGTTACACAGTGTTGTTTTTCATAATGTTTTAAGCAAAAATCCCAAACATTCACTAGTTTTTTGTCATTGTTAATTGTGTAAATTGAATATTTTCAGTTTTTGGACTGTTGGTTAAACATCGAAGATATCATCAAGGGCTCTGGGTAATTTTGACAGGCTTTTTTTCTGTAATTTTATAAACAACATGATGAATTTCTTAATCTGGAAGATAATCAGAAGATTAATTGGAAATAATTGTTTGTGGCAGCTGTACTTAACACACAGACATGAAAGTGATATCAATCTTCTCATCTAAATACCAGCAGAAGAGCAAATAAGCACAAGACCCTAGTGTCAATACAAAATAAGCTGCACAGCTGAAACGGGAAAAGAGCTTTTATGCCACTTTAAATTTGCCCTGCATAAGCCAAATTTCAACATGGGGACGAGACAGTTTTATCTCTGTGCACCAACCGCAGAACAAAATGGTGAAATTAGATCCTGAGTTTTAATATTTACATATTAAAAAAACATTTCAAGACAAAACAATCCAGCATCACATTACCAAAAAAATACCAAATCAAATTATTCCTATGTTGTTGCCGGGGAAATTCCTTAAGACTATATCCCCCTGTCTGCATCTGTGTGTGTGTGTGTGTGTGTATGTGTGTATGCAACAATAAGGCCTACTTTGTGAGAGCTTGTGAAGCATGTCCACAGCCTGTTTAATGAGATAGCATGTGGTATGATGCTATGTGTGTGAAATTGAAGCGCGGGCTGTGTAAATTGAATTAAATGGGTTTGTGTGCGATAAGAATGTGCATGGTAGGAACGGCCTGTAAGCTAGCATAGTCCGCCTATCAGTGTATTATGTGATTAACATGGACACAAGAGTAAATTTTATTGCCAGCAGCTTGGATGTAGGAGGAACAAGTAGACTGTGCAGCAAATCATGCCAGAAAAAAAATGGGTTTCAAATTATTTCTGCACACGTAATGAACACAGAGTGCAATCCAAATTCCCGAAGGTTTAACATCCGCATGGCTTCATTTAAAGCTTTCACTAAAATAAATAGTTTGTTCTACTTGTTCCCCGCAGCAGAAAAACCTTCCATCACCTCATGTGAGTGACCTCAAATGCCATTAATTAGAGTATGGAGAGTAAATGACAACCTTTTCCTTTTTTTTTGTGAAATCCTTTCTTGAATGAGTGTAAGATCTAAGACGCTTTCTGCAAAGTGACTTAGACCATCACCGAAAGGTCAAAACCTGAGACTGTAGACGGATTCTGGAGCTGTGTATTGACTGGTGTACTACATCCCCAGGGTCACAGACCACTACATTTGTTGATCAATCACTGATTAGCTAAGAAAATCAAATAATCACAGGACTGAGCTGTGTCAGAGCTTGAAGAGAGGACTTCTCCCCAACAACAGTGATCCATATGAGTGCTCAAAGGCAGGGGGGAGGAGGTGGGTTTAGTCAGTGATTCACCTCAGTCTTTCTTTACTCCCTGAGCCCTCTGAAAATACCCAAGGAGCCAAAAAGAAAATACCTCACAGCTGTTCTTTTTGCAGTCAAGCCATTCCTGTGATACTTTTCTTACTCAGGCGGAGGCCCTACGTCTCAGCCGAGCTCCTGATGAGTCTTTGAATCCAATCTTTCCATAAGCTAATCTCCGCCTTGTTTTAAACTTCACTTTATTCTTGACTTCAAAAATGCTCTTAAAACTGCAGAACTCCTAATGGCAAATAAGAAAGGGATCAAGAGAAAACACAAGGAGGCTGGGGGTTGGAAGTATCACGTATGCCACCGGGAATGTCAGTGTCACGACCTTAGAGGAGAAGGCAAAAAAAGATCAGTCTCTGGAGCGCTTATCTTGCACTCCATCTGTAGTAGATTTTGTGACACAAGGAGCACAGAGGGATAGAAAACACTTCAAACCCCCCTCTCACCCCCTCCAAACCCGAAAACAAAAGCACTCCCCTTGTTTTCTGGTTGTGAGAGAGACACACAGCATGAATAATTAACAAGACAAAAACAAAAACTATCAGCTGCCTATCTGAGGCCCTGGATGATCCCCATCATAAGTGGACCGCTCTAAGTACAGGTGTGAATGCACCCAAGATGCTTTGAGGTCGTGTTGAGATCTGATCACTCAGAGATGAATCATCGGACAACATTAGGCCGTAGTGACCATCTGTAGCCCTACTTTTTGCAGTGTGTTTCGCATCGTTGGCACTTGTCCGCTGCCTTTCCGGCCGACTGAGCATGCTGAATCAGCGGCAGAGGCCATCGGTGAGAGAAATCACTCTGATTGGCTGAGATTGGACAGAAGGAAATAAGCAAAGTAACAAACAACGTCGCCCAGAGGGCTTGCAGGAAAGGGTTGTATTATTTTTCAACTTCACCTTCATCTATCATTCAAATACACGGATATTTTGAGATTAGAAGCAGTGGGCAAAACCTACATCCATATGACTGCTTTTATTTATATTTTTATATTTTTATATAAATAATTATATTATTATATTCATATTGAGTGAGGAAAAACATTATAAACTTCTTAAATTCCTAATTATTTGGGCATTCTTTATACAACGTTATACACAGAGTTATTTCTTTCTTTGTGAAAAAAACATTGTGTCGTTGAGAGTTTTCAATTATCTGTTGCTGTCAAACAATATTAAGCTTTTCTCAAAAAAACAAAGATAATGTTATTTTACCTCTTAGGATACTGTCTAGCAGTAATTTGTTGGACTCTGCTGCAAAACATTGTCATTACATTCCCCACAATTGATGACTGGATCTTGTCTCGTTTGTATAAATAAGATGTTTACTTCCACCACAGTCTTTGTATGTAAAGGAAATGGATGGGAATGGATAAGATGTTATTGATACCAAGGCCATTATTGATTGTGCTTATCAGTCCAATTCCGTTATTGATTCCTGGTCAATTTTCTGTGTGGAAAAAAAGAAGGCCTAAGCAAGTTTTTAGTGTAACCTGTTTTATTACGTCTGAGTTTGAACACATTTTAGAAACAGAGTAAAAAGCATGCATGTAACTGGTGTGCAAAAGCTCCACTGTTGAACCTTTTCATTTAAGTTTTCTCAGTCAAATAAAAAAATCTGCCTGTCTAAGTCTGCCTGTGTGGAGCTGTTTTTACAACAGGATATTTACCTTCAGTAATGGACGTGCTGCTCAGTTGGGAAGCAGTAGTGCGTTGAGTGTCAAATGCATTCCAGGAATTTAAGCCCATCTTGAAAGATGTTCCTGTATATTACTGGTGTTTCCACCCTGACTTAAAAGGATTTTGTTGTAATCTAAAAAACGTAAAAGGCATCTAGAGCCAGAGTTTGGTTTGTCCATTATGGGCTACTATATTAACATGGTTGCTCAAAATGACGGCCTCTGTACAAGAGGCACTATTGCCTTAAAATATTTATCTAAACTAAAATCATGTAATATGAACCTGAATAAAGCTCGATTTATATTCCAATCATGAAATATCACCTTTTTTTTAAACTGTTAGCTTAGTGACAACCTCTGATTAAGAGCTATAAGTAGGTATTTAACTTAAAATGAAATATTTAAACAGTACTCTTTCACATATGCAGCATTAACCTTGTATATAGAAGTTACTGCGAACACACAAGTGCTGAATTTCTTTATATTGTACATGCAATCAAACTCTATCGAGATAACAACAGTCTTGCCTTAAAGGACTGTCAAAACCTAGCTACTGTAGAAACATGGCGGTTCAACATGGCAGAGGAAGGAGACCCAGTGTTTGTAGATAAAAACGTCTCATTGCAGGTAACGAAAACACAAAAATTCCTGTATTCAAGTGATTACACACTAATGAAAACATACCTGTGAATATTACATTCTTTAAAATCTGACACAATGGACCTTTAAATCGAGGTAACAGCAGTCCTCCAAGTCTAAAAACCACAGCTTTAAACTAACAAAGCACCACAACATGACCAAACATTCAACACCACATGAAACCAAATAATAACAAACAGTGCTCCCTTATCAGCTGGCTGCTAAACACACAAAATAACCAGCATGTACAGACATTAGGCAGACACACTTTTGTGCAATGCGGACACAGATACAATTCAAAAAGGCATATTACACCAAAGGATTCAGTCTATGCAGATGATAAAAGGCCACTGCTGTACCAACTTTGCCCCCCCCCCTCCACTCCCAAATAAAACAGGACCCACATCAGAGACGGTGAGGCGGAGTGAGTGTGCGGTTGTGGCCGTGTTTCCTTCGGGGGCGTGTGTGTTGGAGTACAGACTCCGCCCTCCGGAGCGCAGCAGGCTGCTGGATGAGCCGCTCAGCTTTCAGTGACTTCAGGAAAACTGTTTGCATACCAATCTCCCCTCAGCACTGCACGCTTGTCCAATTTTGGGACCGCAGATCTCGGAGCGGTGGATTTTAATAGCTGGACGCTGCTTGGGGGCAAAATCACCTCCGTGGACAACCCCCGACTGATCTGCGTGTTTTTGTTTTATTTGAATACTTACCTCCAGCAGTCCCGGGGCTTCTCAGAATCGGCTGTTCAGTGGCATTTTCGCAGGGAAACAGCTTGTCACAGACTGAGGTTTCGGCACTGAGCTGCGCTTTGAGGTAAGAAAACGTGTGGCTGCTCTACAAAAGTGTCTCCAACTTAAATGTGTGTGTGTTTGAAATGAAAAGCTAGATGATTTACATGTGTTGAATCCCCTCGCTTGTTTTCGTGGCTGCTTGTTGAATGGGCTCCTTATTTACAACAGTGTGTCCAATGGGCGATGTTATGCGCAGTGTTTGATTTCTGCTTACTTTGTTCTGCTGCAAGTTACATTTTCTCCTCAGATGAGCCGCAGGAAGCAAAAGCACATCTTGAAAGAGAGATTAAATGAAGGGAATATTGAATGCTAATTGTTTAAGTCGTTTATTCGGTTGTTACACCATGAAGACTTAACTTCAGGTCAGGTTTTTTTTTTTCCTTTTAGGAATAAAACAGACTGATGCACAAAGACACTTACTGTGCCCTGGATCTGTCTGTGAAATGTGGTTTAATATGCAGCCTACAGATAATAGTGGGTTATAGTATGAGAAACATGGCATCAGGGGAAATCCGGAGCGATGTGTGTCAGTCTCAAAGCTGGTATGCTTCCCACGGGGGCACAGCCAGAGGAGGCTGTCTGCAGAGATGTATGGGGTCACCAGATGGATGTCTCTGACGGCGCTACCTTTGCTGTAGGGCAGGAGTTCACTGTCAGTTTGCATTAATCACGGGGATACATCATCCAAAACCAGCTCATCCTTCTCTCTCTGTCCGATCTCCACCGGAGCGAACATGACACGTTCAAGAGCTCTGGAGAAGAAAAATAAAGGAAAACCCAATACAGAGTGTATTACAAAAAGCACTGAGGGTGTGCCTTTTAAGTGAATTCAGGGGCATTTCATCATTGGTTCACCCCCTAAAAAGTTTGGACACAGCAGCAGCTGCAAAAAGTGCAGTTTCAGAGTAAAAAGTTTCTTCTCATACAGACAAAACAGCTGGAAATCAGGTTATAATCATATTCCGCCCGGGGGGATTGACTCCAAGGGACTTATTAACACTCACCATTGTCCAGGTGAGTGTGCTATGCTGGGTTTTCTCGCCTCTAGTTAAAGTCACAACCACTCACTCCCCATCTCCCTGAGGCTGGTACAGAGTGTGAGGATGGAGGAGAATAGCATCATATCACACCCCAGCAGCTTGGACAGACTGACAAATCAGCATATGTCATGATTAATGAGCTGGGCTATACTGCTGCATCATGTAAAGATTTCTCCCTTTTCCCTTTTTTCCCTCTCCCAACCCTAAATGATTGGGAGTTAAGAATTTGTAGGGAGAAGAGCACACAAACTGGGAACAGAGGCATGCTTGTTCACTGTGTTGTGGGTGAACATTTGCCTTTTCAAAAAAAAAAAAGAAACAGTAGTATTGATGCTTTTAGAGCAGCTGCCAACACGGATGACTAAACTTCGCCTGAAGCCTTTCTCTCCTCAGCTTGATTCACATGAGTGTTGGGAAATAGTTGTGTTGCTCAGACACACAAGCAATGTCTGCAGGATGTAAGTACAAATGCAAACAACAGGGTTTGTAAACCTACAGTGTAATTTACTCGGGGAATAAAGGTTAGCAGCAACAATGCGGAGGATAGCAATTAGGAGGGAGCATGTTTGAGTGGATTCAAATCTCCTCCGAGCCAAGCTGGTATTTATTCCGCCTACAGACACAGAACACCTGGTGTGAGACTTGCCACTGGTGATCAGTGCACTCATTTTAATAGTGCCTCTGATAATGTGTTGCTCTTAATCACACATTCACAGTGCCAGCGATGAAACGATCAGCAAAAACAAATGAATAGGACAGGAAGTGTGAGATAGAGACAATGTGTGTATGTGAGGAGGGTGGGAGTGGGGGGTTCACTGCTCCTTTGCCACACAGTCCCTTGGCAGAGATAGGACAGTGAGAATTGCAGTGTATGGCAGCTCCTGCTGAGAGGGACGGGGTGACTGACATGATGCCGCCTGGCCTGGCAGAGCACCCCTCATTAAAGGCTTGAAATTAATCAATCTGCAATTCCACATGGTTGGGTGCCTCCGATTTCTCTCTCTCCACTCCTTTCCCACTCACACTTTCACTCTTTCCTTGATATCGACTGATGTGCTTGCAAATGAGGCTGCTGCCTTTTTGGCCAGTCATTTGATCACTGGCCCTAATCTCACATCCCCTGATTCATCTCGCCTGACCACAACCTCCTTCCACCTCCTCTGTCTGTCTCCCTCTGTATCATCTCATCTATTATTCTTTTTTCCTCTTGTCCCCATCCTTTCTCATCTTCTCCTTCTCCATTCATTCCCCCCTTATGCAGCCTGCGAAGCACGCCTGTATCCATATCGATGGGTTCAGAGCAGCAAGGCAGAGGGAAAATGAGGCTGGGTCATCACTCTACACTCGCTTCCCCCTGTATCAGCCCCGCTATGGCAGCAGCGGTCCGTAGAGAGCCCGGAACTAAATGGAGTATCTATTGGCTCAATGAGAAAATTGCTTTTTTCGATTGCTAGAGGACCCTTCATTTAATGTGTGTGATGCAGAGGCCTCAGCCAGTAATGGGTTCAGCATCTTTGTTGTCAGGAGACATGAGAAAATGAAATTTGCTTTTCAGCTGGCAGAAATAATTTACTCTCGCAAAAAGGTGTATTTTTCATCAGCTGTTTAAAAGCCATGAAGGTGTGTGTTATTATATACTGTATGTCTGCACTGTGTTTTGTGAGCGCTGAATGTCTTAACCCTGTGGTTTTGATTTTGTCTGTTTAAGGCAGTTTTAGCTTAACGTCATGTAATATTTAAACTCTGTTGTAATAAAGCAGCCTGGTTTTTAGTTGTTTGTTCAGGGGTTGGGTTGTAGCTACAATTTAGATTGAAACTTCACTTGGTCAGCTTGGGGTAAATCTGTTTCCTCGTACAAGTTTCTGATGCTGGTAGAGATTGTTGAGAGTGAAAACAACATGAAGCACTTTGAAGAAAGGCTTGGATATCTTTTCAGTGACAAACATCTAGAAAAGCCAATTCCACTGAAAAGCTTTAGCTCACCGTGATTGTTGCTCTCTGTCATCAAGGAACATAAACACTTTATTTTAACCCTTTTGTTTATCAGCAGAAACATATTAAATTGTTTATAACACATTAAAACATATTTATACATTCTAGGACATTCTTCAGATAAGATAAGATACACTTTATTGATCCCACACTGGGGAAAATCTCTATTAAGTGTTTATTAATCAGCAGTATTTTCAACTATTTTAACCTCCCCCTTTAAAAACGTATTTTTTTTTTTAAATCACAACTGTGTGATACTATATCAAGTACAGAAATCAACTCATAAAAAAAGAACATATATCTGTTTACAACTACATTACAGTGTGTTATAAACCATGTATTAATTGTGTATGTACTGGACGGCTTAAAATAAAGTATTACCTCTGATACTATAAATGAAAACTTGATCGTGATGATCACCATGAACCTAATGCTGCATAATCCAGTAATATTCACATACATTCTTTTGGCCCTTGCGTGTCTCTATATGGGCCAGGAAGTAGCATGACCTAATCACTGGGCAGCTGGCAGACCCAGAGTTCACCAAGAGCAGGAAACTAAGGGGCCTCTCTCTGCTGACACTTCCTTTTTATCAGGAGGAAGCAGGCCGGCTGTTTGTGCTCAACCCAAGAATTCTTTGTGCTTATCTTGCGTTCACCCTATTTCCCTCAATAATGGCTGTGCTGAGCAGGTAATGAGGTAAAAGGTATGTATTTGACAAGCTGGGCTCGGCAGATAGCAGGCTCTCCAACGGGCTCACGGGCTTGGTAGGCGCTTAGTTGAGGGTACACTCAGCCCCGTCTCAGGATGTTCAAATCACTTCATCTCAAAAATCCCCCCAGCCATCTTTCCTCTCCGCATAATGTTTTTCAGAACTAATAAAGCGTGTCACTCAGGTGTCCATTAAAGGCTGCTGGTGAGGACCCGCTGGTCATTACACAGAGCGAGGACACTCAGTAAATCCCTATACTTTTGCCGGAAGGTTTCTTCAACACCTCATGCTCTTTTCATCCCTCAGATGTAGTCAAAGCTCAGAGAGGGGCTTAGGCAGGCCGGGGAGGCTGGCACTGATAGGTATGTGACACAGGGCTAACGTGTGGGGAGATTACCTGCCTGGCTTTAGAGAGACTGGAGCACCACTTTGATCCACTGAATGATGCTGAGGTTTAAGCACATTTCTGCCTGAATACAACACTGCATTGTGCTCTGTGTGTGTAAAATGGAGGTATTTGTTTTTAGTTTGATGAACAACCAATTTGTTACTAAGTTCACTGGGTTGACTCGCATTGGGTTCAGTGTTGGCGCACTGGGCAGGAGGAAGCTGGGTGCTAATCAAATAGCACCAGGAAGGAAGAGCTCATTTCATGGATGTGATTGTTTTCCACACTGACTGACTAACACTGGAGCTTTTCACTATAGATGGTACTTTGCGTCAATTTGAACATTTTATAGATAAAGAACTGTTGTGAGACTCACTTGTTTCTTGCATAAATTGCTTGGTTCCTGTTAAGGATTTTGATAAAGACTCACTGTTCAGAGGAATCAGTTTTCAACACAACTGAGGGATTGTACATCCATGTGTTTGTGGATCACTGCAGAAGAAGAAGATGTGTGTTGAATAAAGAAAATCCCTTGTCTGTACATCCTGTGAATCATTTTAGGGCTGGAACATGCTTCTCCATGCAAATGGAAGCAAACTTGCACAGGTGTCATTCAGAGATGCTGTTTTCTTTTGTACTTTTTTTTTGGGCACAATGTTAAAATGTCCGCCTCTGTTTCAAATACACTTTGCTGTTTGGGTAGTTTTTCAAGCCAAAAAAAAGAAACGATCACTAGTTGTCACTATTTTCCAACATTTTATAGACCCAAAAAATTTATTGATTAACCTATAAAGTAATAATCAGATTCAGCAATAATTAAATAATAATGAATAATGTTGTTAGTTGCAGGCCTCTGCAAAGGTCAGTGATTCAGTTACCCATAAAACCCT